TAAAGTACTGAATTGTATTAATTTGACAAAATAATGACACTGGTAACCAGGACAAATAACTAACATAGGCACCAAATGTAAGACTGTGGAGTGGAACTGTAAACACTGTCTGGTGCTGATGACCTCTGATAACACTGCAGTCTTGGTTTCCACTGCATGGGAAGGAATCTCTTTTAAAACAGAAATTCCAAAACTAGATCACATTATGGTCATCTTTGGCAAGTTCAAGTTTTTTCCAGTGTGTTGAAAATAGTATTTGTCTTAGTTGCATATTCTCTCTTCTTGGAGGCTCCTAGCTCCACATCTTCAGATGTGAGTATGTAGCCTGCAGTAACTACAGACACCAGAGCAAAAGGGGACCATGACCAGGATGGGGTGGGGCACAGAGAATTAGAGAGGAGAAGGGCAGGGTACATGTGATCTCTTCAGGGAAACGGGCGAAGGTTGAGTCCTTAGCAGGGAGGAGGGAAGTAAATATAGAAGAAGGTGGGAGGAAGGTACAGCTGAGTAGCAGGACACAAGTGATCTAATCAGGAAAATGAGAAAATGGGAGGTTCTAAGTTAAAGGGAGGGGATATCAATATAAAAGAAGGAGGTAGGTAGGTAAAATAACAATATGGATCACTGAAAAAGTTAGAAGGTGAAAAGAGAAAATAATCATAAAGAATCATACTATTAATGATTTACCCCACCAAAAAACAGTATGAGCAGTGTTTTTCTTGATAGCTGGGAGTTAGTTCTTTCATCCTGAAGAGGAGTGTTCCAAAGGTGATGGGATGGGAGCTACCCTGGGAGACAGTTAGGATCATTTATAATTATAATTAATGATTACACAATTAACAGGGTGTGGAAAGTGCAATATATATCTCCAAATGTATCTATGTCTTTAATTCTGGATTCTGGGGATGTAATACTTCATAGAATAAGGGACATAAAAAAGAAACATATGAACAAAGGCTAACATTTTGCTGATTAAAATAGTAGGATTATCATGAATTTTCACTGTGATTCCATTACAATTATGAGTCAAGCATAACTTTCAGTATCTATAAAAATAGAGCATATTAAAATTATGCAATGTGAGACTGACTTACCTGACTCTTTTGGTTTCTTTCATGAATATTTTCCAGGTCAACGTAAGTTTTAGTTGGTTGCAAAAAAGTGATTAATATTCTGTGTTCATCACTATTGTTTTAGGTGTTAACTATATAATGAGGCAATGTAAATCAATAGGATTGGATTTCTAAGACATGACACCTAAGTGTAATACAGGCACACAAAGTGTGTGTTCTGACTAGGATGTGACTATAAATGCCTTTATCATCTCTGGTATGCTATATATACAGGAAGATACATGGGGAAGTATATAGAAGTATATGTTATCCATTCTGGAACATCAAAAGTTAAAGAGACAGGTTAATAAAATTGGTAAGTAAAACAGAGTGATGATAATAGACATACTGACAAGTGAATCATAAGTTTGATGAATATTATTTTTTTCCAGATATATGAAATATGCTTCCACTACAATGCTGAGATGAATACACTTTGCATACATGTCCACATTAAACAATATCCTTTATTTCCAATCTGTACTTGGAGTTCTAGCCAATATGTTTCTCCTTTTTTTCTACACTGTCATAATCCTCTGGCACAGACCTAAGCCCACAGACCT